CGGCAGCCAGGAGAAGGGAAGGCCTATTGCACGAATCTCTTTGTGCAACGGGCCTCTAGTGTGTGTATATATATATACACACACACACACACACATATATATGCATATATTTGTGTATGTATATGTTCTCTTCTAAATTAAAATAAACAGTGACTAAATTATGTAATTTATATATTGTTTTTCACAACGTATTTTAATTCTTAAATTACATTTTGCTAATTACCTGACAGTGTATTTAAAAAACTGTATTGCAATAACATTGTTAATAAAATTATATAGGCTTCAAGTGTACAATTTTGATATATCATCTGTATATTACATTGCATGCCCACCACCCAAAGTCAAACTTCTGTCACCATATATTTGCCTCCATTTGCCCTTTACTACCCTATCACAGCCCTTCTGTCTAATAACCACCGTACTGTTTCTGAGTTTTAATTTGCTTTTCTTGTTTGTTCAGTTATTGCTTTCAGTTTATATCACACATAAGAGTGAAATCAATCATATGGTTCTGGGCTTTTTCTGCCTGGCTTATTTCAGTTAGCATGGTATATCAAGATCCACCCACGATGTCTCAAATGGTAATATTTCACCTTTTCTTCTGGCCAAGTAGTATTCCATTGTATATGTGCACCATATTTTCTTTATCTAGTAATCTATTGAAGGACACTTTATTTTTTTCCATGTTTTAAACACTATGAGTAATGCTGAATGAAACAGTATGGAAGTTCCTCAAAAAATTAAGGATACAGTTACCATATCACCTAGCATCCTTTCTTCGGGGTATGCACCCTCAAAAACTTGAAAACATTTATGCACAAAGATATATGTATTCCTATGTTCATTGCAGCATAAGACAATTCTGTTAGAAACACAAAGTAGAAAACGATTAGAATCTAGAAATCTAGTGTCTCATCAGCTACACATATTTGTGTGCGTGTACACACATACACACACACACACACACACACACACTTGATTTCAAATGTTTTTACATATTTAGTTCAACATGTTTACTTGATATTCCTTAGGAATATTTAGCAGAGGCATATAAAGAAAAATCTCTAGCCTTTATAGAGCTATGAAAGTGATAATATCTCTTTTTTGAAATCCAACATGTTTTAATTAATTTCCAGTTGTCTAATAGTATACATTTCAACAATAATATTAATAACAAGTACTTATTGAATGGTTATGTACAAATGTAAGCACATTTCATCTCATTTAATTAACTACAACAAACCTACCAGGCAAGTAAGAGTAATACTCCTGTTTTATGGATGAAGTAACTGAGACAAACGACATTATTAAATTGGCCATCATTTTCCCACAGAATTGCAATCTTACATTTATAATCGTAAAAGTTTTCATATAAATTTGCATTTATGTAACTGTTTCTTGTTTTTCTGCCCAAACCATACTGTTATAATTTCACTAGTTTTGTGGTTTTATTTTTTAAAATATCTTGTAGGTAAAGCTCTCTAATACTATTCTTCAATCTCAAAATTTTCATGACAATCCTTTACACTAATTTCCACCTGTTTGAAAAATAACATTGTTGAATAATATAAAAACTAGTTCTGATTTTCATCAGAATTGCATTAATTTTATATATCACTGTGGGTAATATTAATATTCTTATGTAATGTTTTCTCCTCAAGTCTCCTTTAGTCTTCTTAAATTTCAATTTTATTTATTTTCAATACAGCTTCTTTATCATACATGATAGCTTTATTCCTAAATATTTTCTATTTTTTGTTATATTCTAACATAATATTTATTTTATATTTCCATTTATAACTGATGAGAAAGGACTATTATATTATTATATCTCTATTATAAAGATGTTAATTTTTGCATGCCTGTGTAGTATTTGGCCATATATTTAATGCTCTTATTACTTAAAATTAATTATAGTTAGACATTGCAATAATTAAAAAGGCATTCGTCATTAAATTACAGAAAACACAAATAATAGTGTTGTAATTAAGGCTTTATTATTTTCACATGGCATGTCTAGAGAAGCGTAAATGCTGATTTGGGATGGTTTCTTAACATTGTCGTCTGACTCTTAGAGGCATCCTTTCTCCACCTCCCTAGTGTATTTATCTTTATCCACAAAGTTGTAACATCACTGTTGCCAAATATTGATTGCAGAAGTAGTTTGGAACTACTACCCCTGCTAAATTATAATCACGAAAGCTGGAAGTTCTGTTTGGTTCTTCTTTCGATGCTCTTGACTTTATTATTTCAACATTTAACATGATATTTGACTCAGATATGGGGAAAAGAGTCTTTA